GGATCTCCTTCTCTTCCACCCCAGGTGATTCTTTTTAAATAGTAACATACTAATAGTGCCTTCCTTCGCCTTAATTTTTTCCCTTCCCATTTCTCTTTAACTAGTCTATTTCCCATTCCTGAAAAGCTTCCTTTTTCCTTCCCACCCTTAAATCATCTACTTTGTCTCCTTTTTATCCCCCCTCAATTTCTTTCCCTCTTCCAGCTTCCTTCCCTGTCTTAGCATGCCCGTTGCCATTCAGTCAATTCTGCCTCATAGCCACCTTACAAAACACAGCTGCCCCACTGGGTTTCTCAAGGCTGTAATCTTTATGGAAGCAGACCGCCATGTCTTTCTCCCGCAAAGCGGCCGCTGACCTCTCGGTTAGCAGCCAAGTGCTTAACCATTGTGCCACCAGGGCTCTTTATCTTAGCCTAGCACATGTTTAGAGATACGTGGTCCCTGTTTACAGATGAAGAAAATAAAATAAAATCCCAGCATCACTACTATGGATTCAGCTATGGATCCCCTACTTACTAGTTATGCGACCTTGGACAGGTCGTTGAGCCTGTCTCTAGAGCTCAGTCTCTTCATTTGTAAACTTGAGTATCTACCACAGAGGGTTGCTGCAAGGGTCCAAGAGGATAAGGTGGATAACGCACTGAAATACCTGGCTCATGATTGCAAGTTTTTGCTGCAGTTGTTATCACAGATGAAGAGGTTAAGTGGCTTGCCTAAGATCCATGAGCTAGTTGCACGTTACTTGCGGGTGAAACAGTGGACTTCAGCACGAAACTGGTTCCTAGTCTGTGGTTGCTTTTATTTCACCTTATCTGCTGTCTTCCTACCGGCACAGCTAGCTCTGTTCAACACGGCAGCATTTGCTCTCTGAGAAACTGAACAAGACTGATCCTGAGTCTGAGGGGCTTTTCCCATGACCTGTGAAATGTCTTTAGGACAATCAAGGTAATGTCTCTAAGAATGGACATGTTCTAAACTCCTTAATTCAGATGCTCTATTTACCTTGGGTTGTCGGCCAACTACTCATCACAAAAGTGGCTTTGCAAGGGATATGCTGTTGAAAATGAGGTCACCTCCCTCCAAGCACGTGGATATCCCTTCCAAACTATGGACTTCCAATTCTGTTTAGTGAGATTTGCATGGCACACTTTTAAGATCCTCACAGCACTAAAAACACTGTCTTATTTTTCTGCTCAAACCTCCTGGATGGCAAGTATGGTTTATTAGTTCTATTTTCCAAAGGGGAAAAAAAAGGTAGGCAATGACCAATTTTGGGACAAGTTAACAGGTGCCTCCCGACATGATGCAACGGGAAGTGCTGGACATTGCCTATGTCGTTTTCTTGCCAAAAATGTTCAATTTAAATCTGAACACGAGGAGACATTTAGACAAATACACATTGCGGGACTTTCTACAAGACACCTGGCCTAGACTGAAAAATATCAGTGTCTCAAAACACAACACAAAAGACAAACGGACTGTTCTAGATTCCAAAGAAACCAAGCCCGCCGCCGTCGAGTCCTAATTGGTGCCCTGGTGGCTCAGTGGTTAAGTGCTCGGCTGCTAATTGAAAGGTTGGTGGTTTAAACCTACCAGCTGTTCCTCGGGAGAAAGATATGGCAATCTGCTTCTGTAAAGATTACAACCTTGGAAACCCTATATGTGGCAGTTCAACTCCGTTCTACAGGGTCTCCATGAGGCGGAATCGACTCGACAGCAACAGGTTCTAGATTAAAAGGGGCTAAAGAGACATGACAAACAAGTGCAATGTGTGAGGCATGACTGGATACTGAATGGGGGGAAAGCCAGCCATAAAGCACATTTTGGGGGACAAGTGGGGGAAATGTGGATATGGTCTGAATATTAGATCTGTATGATAAATTGTGGGGGTGTGGTTATGATACGATGTTTAAACAGGGGAACGTCCTGTTTTTCGGAGACACTTGCCTAAATAGGGGAAAAGTATAATGAAGTCTGATACTTTTTTTTTCATGTTTTTTTGTAAAGAGAGAGAGAGAAGACAGACATGTAATAGGGCAAAATATTAACAGTTAGCAAATTATCAGTGAACGGTACCCAAGTATTCATTCAATATTTCTTTCTTCTTTCCACATTCAATGGGTTTGAAATTTTTCAAAGAGTTGGAGGCAAAATCAGGCACCAGAAAATGGCTTTGCCTTAGACCAACTGGTCAGTGGAAGAGCTGAAGAAAAATGCAAGTGTAGTCTCCATTCCCAAAACTCTGCCTGAGA